TAAGGGGTATCTAAAACTCAATAAATGTAGTTTCTTTACCTATTTTTTATGGGCCATTGACAACAAACTGCTTCCACTGAGTCCTTTGTAATACTAAATCCCATAGAATGGTTACCAAGATAAGCAGTACCTTCTTTGGTGGAAGTGCAAGCCATATGTTCACTATGGCCAATGGTCAGCAAAGCAAAGATCTTTTTAAGGGTGCATTTATGATGGAAGGACCTCCAAAGAGGGAGGGAGGGAGGAAGGAAGAAAGCTTCAAAACTGATTTTTTTTTTCTTAGTACTAAAAAAAAGACAGTATTAAAATCTTCCTTATGCATGGTTCATCTGCTTTTGTATGGAGCCTACTGAATAGTTGAAGTTACTGGGAAGGAGGGATTTGCACACTTTTCCAGTTCTTTTAAATAATATAGTTGAAGTGGTTAAAAAAAAAATCCTTCATCTTGCATTAACCATTGTATTCTACAAATTATATAGTTCAGCTCATATTTGTTATTACAGGTGTGTATTTTCAAGCTGAAGAATCTCCTAACATAAACCAAAATGCATTTGAAAAGTATTTACTAAGCAGCAGAAAAATTATCTCTACACAAAACAACTCCAAGGACATGAAAAATAAAGGCTCACTTTAAGCAGTGTCTAAAACAGAGGCTCATTGCACTTATGAATTGCTAATTTTGTTTCTGTGTGCTTGTTCCATCATTTTTATTTTTAAATATTTAAAAAAGTAAATCAGTTTACTGATAGTATGGGAAGTTTTAACATGCTGTCTCACCTTGCAAGGATCAAGTTTATTCTGTATGCCTACATCAAAAGCTTAGATTTATTTACTGAATTAAATCCTATATCAGAATTCCTTATACAGAGAGAGTTGCCAGATTCCACAGCGACAGCCAATTATCCATAGTCTTAACAAATAATTGCTTGAGTGCTGCATTTTAATGCTAAAAAAAAAAAAGAATTCTTATTTCAAATGCTTTCCTATGTGCTATATAGTCAAACAATGCTCCTGGGCTGACAATGATTTGGCTCACCAGGTTCTCATTTGAGGCAACCTGGTGTTAACCTAATTAAAAAGTCAGAAGAAAGAAATAGTTGCAGCAATACTGACTAAAGGCATTCAGGTCAAGATGGTGGACAAGGGAGCCATTGAAAGGCTATTAAATAAGGCCATGTGGATGACAGAGGCCAATATCAAAATCATGACGTTTAACAAATAAGGGTGATGAAAGCGTTGATGGACAGAAAAAGCAAAGCACAGGTTCAAAGCACACAGCGTAACTGTGGAAGCTGAGGATAATGTATTGGTGAAAATGCAGGAAGGGGGAAATAAAGTTAGAGATGTCAGCCTTGGGAGAAATGGAGTTTAAATGACGATTGTCACAATATGAGAACTACAGCAACTACACAGTCCTGGAAAAGACAGTAATGTTTATTTACTGTGTTCTCCCAAGGTAGTCCGAGGAAACTTTTTGCCTTTGAATCCAAAGGGTTGAACAGCTCTTAATGTTAACATCAAAGAAGTCTGAAATGACATACTTATTTCCAGATTCTACAAATCAGATGCTATAGGCCTCATAAAGTCTAAATTTAACCCACATTTAAATTAAATGCTCTTTTATAGTAAGAAAACGATGGCTGACATACTGGAATCTTGACTGGAAAGAACTTCAGTAATTATTTCTTGGATGTGGCTAATGTGTAATTTTGAGAGATTGAGCATTTGGTAGCCAGAGATATTAATGGTCACAGTTTATCATCAGTACATAGCAAAACAGGTTTTGCTTAACGTATCTTCAGAAAAAAAAAAGTGTGAATTGGGGGCGGACGGGCAGGGCCAGGGTAGGTGTGGCCAGCTTGACATCACTCGTGTCAGAGCAGATGTGGTGGTCCGGACAGTGCTGGGGGGATCCTTCTACAGCCCTCTGCCAATGAAAAAAATCTCTGTTTTCATTGGCAGAGGCACTACGGGCCAGTCTTTTGCTATTTCCAGGGTGGCTCTGTGGACCAAATCTAAGCACTCCGTGGGCTGAACTGCGGGCCTTAAATTTGACACTCCTGATCTATACTATAGAAAGCAGCCATGCCATTATTATTTGTAATACATTTCACAAATGTATGTTCCTATCATAAATTTCAAACATTCTCTGGCAGCTGTGAAAAAGGGAATTAACATATGGTGGAAAATTCTCAGCAAAATATTAAGCTCCTATGGTTTAATTTTTTGCTGTGGTCAATCACTAATTGGAATTTTTTTTCAAAAAAAATATCCTTATGTTATCCTTTTATCAAATTCCTAGCATTCAGGAATATTCCTTTCGAAACTTCTTAAGAATGCTATTAACAGAATAATCCTGTAAGGTAGAGGTGAGGTAGAGAGAAAGCTCCAACAGTCTAACCCAATCAGCAACATACATTGCAGCTTTGTCCCGAACTGATGAAAAGTAACAAGAACAGTTGTAGTCCATAGATGTCAGCCCTTTAAGGTAGCTAAGTCAGGAAAGAGATACTACCAGGATTACAGGAACCTTGCTTTATTGTTGTAGGGGTAAGAAAATTGTGAAAGGCTGATAGCATTTCTCTCTGCTCGCTTTTAAATTAAGCAGAACCAAAGCAGGGTTATTTTGGAACTCTTCCTCAAAATAACTTTCTCTGGTGTTTTTCTTCCCTTGATGGCTCACCAATCCCTTCATCAAGGTTAATTCCACATTCCTTTGAAACAGATGAGGGTTCTATTTAATGGGGGAAAAGAAGATAAAATACAGTCCAGATTTTTTTTTTTAAACGAACAGTGAAATCTATTTATGGGGTTTCTAAAGAAATCTCTTTCTACCCCACTATGGTTGGTGACATGTATTTTAAATAAATGGATTTTAAATAGAACTCCCCACTACAAAAAAAGGTTGAAGCTACAATGCTCTAAAACTGACACACTGTGTTCATATTATCATTCTTAATTTTAGAAGACATGCCATTTAGAATATACATTTCGTACCCCTATTTTGCAGTGCTGTAAAGAAAACAACGCTGGCATAGGCAGAGCTTTATCTTTCTTTTAAATAACAGCAGATCCAGAGGAAAAAAATACATTAATTCAGTTCCCAATATATCATTAAGAAAGAGAAAGCGTAAGGTAACAAAGAACAGAATTCATGAAAGTGCAATTAAGATAGTATTGCAGAGGGCAAGCAGATTTGGCATCAAAACAGTAAGACAGAGGGTTGACAGTAAATGATTTTACTGCTCCCAGAGCTAAGTAGATTGAAAAAAGAATTCAGAAAGAAATTGTGCAGCTCACTCAGAGCTAAGAGCTCTGCCAAATTCAAAGAATGCCTCAGGCATCCATCCATGAGAGCTGAGCCTCAAAGTTTTTCTCTGATTGGAAAAAATCAAAATGGCAAAAAAGGGACCCTCCAAATGAGACCCAGAAAAAAACAGAGCATCTTCAATGAAGTTCTTCTTAGAAGTAAATACAGTTATATTCGCAGCAGACAATTATACGGCACTTCTGTGCATACACAGGTAACACAACAAAAAAGGAAAGTCAGCAAGTTAAAACAAAGACATAGGTCAATTCGGCTTTTTATAAGATACCAGTTTTAAGAAAGCAACACATAGCCAGCATATGTCTTAAGAAGCAGGCCACACATCCAGTAGGACATTGTACTAAATTGCAATTTGACTTTGAAAATGGAATTTATCAGCATTTTATGACACTAAGAGCAGAAGTATCTCTATGGAAAGACAGATCACTATCTATGGTAAGCTCCATTATGGACATAAGGGGGAAAAATGTAGAGGGGAACCTGGAATGTTGTATGATCCCTGGGATCGCAAAGAGATAGGACCGAGCGACTGAACAGCAACAGGGATAAAATTTATTCAAGCAACCTAATGATAATACCTGTCAATATATTAAAGCTACGTACACTTTGAAAGTTATTCAGAGGTGCTTTGGAAGTTGGATAAACACAGCCCTCTCTGTAAAACTTGAAACCATTTGGCATAATTAAATGAACAACAAAGAATTAGCGCGTTTGCAAGAAAACTTTGCTTTCCTTTTTTTTCTTTCAAAATGTGCAGGGCAAAATCGTAATTTTTATAACATGTCAATCAGTCTATATATGAATTTCCCAGCCTAGAGTATAAACCATTTATCAAACAATGCTTACTTAAAAATGAAGAGGAAAAAAAGTTTAGGAGATAGTGATGCATCATTACATTCAAGCTTCTAGAAGATTCCAGCCACTGTATATAAAGCTCTGCTTATAACACAGAAGACAGTATATTTCCTAGTTTGGGAAAATCTTTAAGGTTGCATTGTACTATATATAATTACACCGACTCTTTTACACACACACACACACACACACACAGAGTCACATATACTCTGATCTACATTTACTCTGATCTAATATTACATTTTTCTGAATCTTCCTTGCCTCTCAATTTCGGTCTTACAATTCTTGCTTTGCAAAAGGAGCTGCTTCTTCCAATTTTCTTCTACCAATATTCCCACAGTATTAGAGCTAAGACAGAATTATGGACATACCATATATGCTTGTGGATAAGGCAAGAATTTTAGGTTTCAAAATACACCCCCTAAATTGGACTTGTTTTAACCATGGATGGGGTTTATCCACAAGTATAGGCGACAATGTTTTTTTTTAATGTAGACATATATATTTGCAAATGATCCAATCCATATTTAAGCTGACCCTTGAATTTTTAATAAAAAACCATGAAAAGTAAACCACCTGTGGGTAAATTCAGTTATGAAAAAATAAAACATGAAAATTGCACATGGCACCGTTTCCACAGTGTCTAGGCTACAAATCTGAAGGCTGGCTTAGCAGCAGAGGGACTTATCCACAGGCATATATTGTGTTATTGTACTGTTATTTTTTAGTTGAAGAAATTCTGGGACTCTCACTTAGGCAAAAAAAACAACCACATGTCAAAAAAGGCAGAAATTATGGTACATGCATACAATCTTACCTCATTCCTTCAGTTGACCTATTCTGATAATTACGGTAGAGCTGTGGGATACCCACCATGGCTTCAATGAAAACAGCAAGGAAACCCAGGCTTTCAACAAAGATACTGGAGTCAAGGGAAAGGTAAGTGACGCATCCTGTTACCCCAGCGAAAGCCAGAACGCACTGCACATAATCTGCAAACGTGTTCCAGTGCCAGAAAGAGTTCAAGTCAAAATCTGAAAAACAATGTTTATAAATAAATAAAAAAACAAAATGGACTGCTTTGCCACTTATGCTTCCATAAAAAAGGAGAAGAACACAGGATTATTTGGAAAGTTTAAGGAAACTGTCATTAAAAAACACAAGCTGGCAAATAAACTGAGACTGTAATTTATACAATTAGATCACTGATAAATCATAATTTTATAACAATAGGGAGAGAAGGTAACATGGAAAAATAAATGCATAATGCAACTCAAGTTGAAAACTGCCTTTGTGAAATATTGTAGCGCAAGCGATTATATGAACCACGATCAGGAATATCATTTGTGGCAAAGTCTGAAGTTGTGAAGGGAGGAAAATAGACAACATTTGTCCTCCCAACAATGGTTGTATCACAAAAAGCTGAGTTCTGTAAGAATCCAAAGCCATCCATTCAGAGAACAACGAAGGACAACAAAATAGAATCCGGAGTCACATTAAATGCACACAAGGATCCAATGGCAATGGTCATGCAACAAAGCACAAAAGTTTTTCACAGGATTCTGAGAATCTCAGGGTTGATTCAAATGAGGAACCTGCTATCTTCCCAATTTATTATTCTATGTGAGATAATATTCATCACATTTCTGGACTTGGGGCAAGGTACAAATCAATATATCTATCAATTAAATGGGAAATCTTCGGTCCCAGGGATGAGAGGCCTCACACTTTTCTTCAGCCATTAAATTATCAGTCGAGAATGATGGGCGCTATAGCCGTAGGCATTGAAGGTTTGGTATAATTTACTGCAACAAGGGTTGATTCTCTAAGGGTAAAGGGAAAGCAAAAACACATTGAAAACATTTCTTTCTAAGGCAGGTAGGTAAGTAGGTAGGTAAAGACATACAGAGATAGAGAGATATTGCTACTTTTTTCTTCTAATCTCCTGGAATCAGAGCAAGTGGCTGTATCTAACAGTCCTTCCCCATTCCTAGAAAAAATAAGTAGAGGTGGACCTGGTTGGAAGTTGAATGGGAGATCCCAAGCAAATCCTAGGTTTATTAAAAAAAAAAATCAGAGAAAAAGCAAAGATAAATTGCTACCATATTGTGGCCAAGGAAAAACATGGATGTATCTATGCAGTCCAAGTTAACTTTTAGGCATTTGGGATGAAGATAACTTATTTAGGTAAGCCTGACTTCTTTGAGCCCCAAGGTAGATAGTGATTCACCATCTTCTGAATTTGCAAATTAAGTTAATTGGCTGAAATGGAAAGGCAAGGTCAGGGAGGCTCCCCTGCCTCTGTCTTAACCAGAACAAACAGGGAAAAGGAAAGAATCTGAGGCTGCATCAGCCTTATTGGAAGGCAGCAAAATTGTGTAAGACTTTTCTTTTCTTTTCTTTTTTAATAGCAATCGTGACATTCCCTTGTTTGCATGTGCTGCAGCAGTAAAAAGCATTCTTCACCATTGCAAGCCATCTTATTCGCCAACAGATAAGAAAGCTTTACTTTATTGCCAATTCCATCTCCCATCTAAATAACTGGGACATAAAGCAATTCTCTGAGAACATTAAAAATAGAAGCCATTTATTATCCCTTCTCTATAAGCACTGCCTAGTCGAGATTAATTATATTTCAGCTATAATGAAAGCCTCCCCCCATAATAGACTGGTCCACAACTGTTAGCTGAGAGAATAAGCCAGACCCCAGTGTCTTTGCGAGATAAAACCGAGCCTGATCAGAAATCTGGGGGGAGGATCAGCTTAATTCTGTCAATAATGTTTGAGAGCAGTGCCCATCTCGCACAAGATAGTCCTGTACTTGGGCTTCCCAAAAAGGAAATTATTCTAATGAAGAGAAAGACCAAGCATTACATACATTATTTTTAAAGAGAACAAGAGGCATTGAAATCCTATCCCCCAAACAGTACATTTAATCAACGATTAACGTTGCTCTTTGTCTCTTTATTCGGAGAGAAGAGATGATGAATCCTGTCTCCAGAGATAAATGGCAGGAGGATGCTTTATATAGAGAGAATCATTTTTCAATTTATAGAATCATTTTTCAATTTATCACACCTAAACAATGTAGTATGTCATCAAAGCTTTGTGCTCTGAGGGATGCTTTCATTGAAAGGATTTACTTATTCAAATAGGACTCCCTTAGAAAATAAAGGGAAACTTAATTTAAATATGTATTATCTCCATGGTGTGAAGTTCACACTAAGGGAACAATCTTCTCCAATTAGTAATCTATTTCATTCAACTGGGCATAATGATCCATTTCTTCAGGTAATTGCAGAAATTCTCTTTCTCTCTCTCTCTCATCTTAAATCTAACAGAAAATAAGTCTGTCAATCTCTCTCACACATCCATTCTCATTCTCTCCCCCCCCTCTGCCTCACACACACACACACACACGCACACACCACACACACACACACAAAACCAAAACAACGTTGATATTTCAAGATAGAATTAAGGATGATTTCTTCTGAGATTTTTAAATGGCAATGTGAAAGTAAAGGTCAATTACTTTTATCAGGATCCAACTTTTCCATCTACATTTAAGTCATAAAATGTGATTAAATTAAGCTAGATAAGGACTCCTATGATAAAACTGAAGTTTTATCCTGTCTACCCCACTGAAGATTTAGAGCTCTAAAAGATTAGTAGAAAAGTCAAGGACATCTAGCCCAAATACGGGATCTCATTTTTCTAGATTATCCCCCTACCCCAAAAAAATTCTTGAGGAATGTTTGAATTTTCACAGTTCAGAATTAATACATTATTCACCTATAAATAAGATAGCTGCAGGAGTCTTTCTTTTTTGTTTGGAATATTACAGGTTGAAGGCCATAAAACAGACTCTTATCCTGTTTTTTTCTCTTTAAGAGACATAGGATCACTCAATTGAGAATGGATAATATCCATCTGAAGGATTATCAAATGTGATTTCTTTCTGAAAAAAAAATTTATCTCCCACTTAGCAAGTGGGACTGCCATTTGAAAATGAAATCTAAAGAAATAAACAGCTGAAGAAAAAAAAAGAAATTGGAAATTATGCTATATTTCCTACTATAAATTGAAATAGTTTTGTCAAGTAAGAAATTTTAAGTGACCATTTTCCCCCTTGGAAAAAACTAAAGCCCGGCCTGATGTCTTATGTTAAACAAAACTTTAAGCCTTTTCATAAGTTAGCTCCTTACATCAAATATTGATAGGAGATTTTAAGGTAAAAATTAGGAAAAGATATAAAGCTACCTAAGAGCTTAACTGTGAACAATCTGCACTATTTATCCACCACCACTAATGATCCAAACCAGCTGCTCTGGTTTTCATCTTTTTCAGCTCTTATATAAAAAGAAGAATTTAATGTTAAGCTTGGTACACTCATGGAATGATCAATTGGTTGAGTAAAGAAAACTGATTATGTATGTGTCCCCATTTGTACAACAGAAAAGGTAATTTCATCAGGCTTTGGTTATCTGTCCAAATGGCGGCATGCAATCCTGTGTGCAGAGGAAATTCATTATCAAATTGGAGAAGGGATCAAAAGATAATTAAATGTAAGTAGTGCAACAGCAAAGACCTATTCAATTTTTTTGACAGATTTACATGATTAACATTTTATTTCTATACAGCTCATCCTCACGGAGGAACATGTTTCTGTTAGCAAAGGAATACAGGAATAAAATTGTAGCCAAGGAATAAAATTATGGCTAGAAATAACAATAATATCAACAATTTTTAAAAACAACTGTAAAAAGGTTTCATTAAAAAACAATACCGAAGGTCCAATTTTGAAGGATTTGTTATCCTATTAATGCTGAGGTAAACTGGCATGTTTTTCACTGCTGTCTAAAAATAGATATTGGGCGGGGCAGTAGGAATGGGGAAGATGGGGGGGGGTGTTTCTTGAGAATCAATTCCATAATAAGTGTGGTATTATTGAGAAGTTCCAACAACCACTCTGTGAGTTAAACCGGGGGGTCTCCAAATTTGGCAATTTTAAGACTTGTGGACTTCAACTCCTTGAATTCCTCAGCCAGTAGAAGTTCACAAGTCTTAAAATCGCCAAGTTTGGAGACTTCTGAGCTAAACCAACTTGCAGGAAATAGCAAAGGCTTCCCAGCCAATCTTAATGCAAGGAGCTGGAATGGCACTAGATGCATCAATTTTTCAAATATTAAGCTCCAAAGTCTTATTTAATTTGCAGGAAACACATTTTTTTCAATATAATTTACTACAGAAATAGCAAAGTGCCAACTCAGTCCACTATATATATGTTCCTCTGCACACCTTTCTGTAATTTTCAAAATTATCATCATGTCTGATATCACAGCAGTGTGATATTCCCAAACATGATGGCCACAAACAATTCCTTTTTAACTTTCAAACTAATCTGCTGAAAGCCGATTTCTGCCCTCTTAATATTGTTTTCATACTGTGTTAAGAATTATTTCTCTAAAGAAAGTACAATGCTGGGAAGAAAAAGAGGATGACCAGCAGGGGTGGGATTCTATCAGTTCGCACCTATTTGCTAGAACCGGTTGTTAACATTCTAAGAAATTACTGGCCTAATCCTGTAAGGAAGGCAGGAAGGAAACATTCTGGTGTTGCTTACAGAAACTGTCTCTCTGTTAAACCTTATTACATTCTTAGCAGGACTAGACTTCCTATCTCTGGAACTTCTCTGGTGTTTTTTCCCCTCCTTTGCTGGTACTTTGCTCATGTGGAGTGACCATTCAAAGTTACAATGGCACTGAAAAAAGTGACTTATGATCATTTTTCACACTTACGACTGTTGCAGCATCCCCACAGTCATGAGAGGCCAGAAGAGATGTGTGCCTCGATGTGAGTGATATTGAGTTGGCCATACCCAGCCAATAACATGACCACCAAGCCATGCCCACCATCTAAGCCACGGCCACAGAACTAGTTGTTAAACAATTTGAATCCCACCCCTGATGACCAGATATAAAAGACAAAATCCTGGACATAATCTAGCTATGATTGCCAGCAGACAACATGG